CATGTCTGAAGGCTACCTTCTCTCTGTATCACAACCTACCTTGTACAGATCTGAAGGCTACCTTCTCTCTGTATCACAACCTACCTTGTACATGTCTGAGGCTACCTTCTCTCTGTTCAATTATTTTGCAAACATAATCTTAGAGCCTGTGATCATCAGCAAAGTGATCTACTGAACAAAACATAGACTTTTCTTTCCTATTTTGGGGGGCATTTATTTACTTTGTATGCTATGGGGGAGCAGGAGCCTGGCAGTGTATAGTACTAGGTCCTTTACACGCAATGGCTTTTCGTATAATTGTAATAAAACCCGGTTTATAAATTAGCAATAGTAAAAGGTTAGAGACACAGAACAAGGTCAAGGGTGGTGGCCCAGGCCTTTCTGTGAGTTCAAGGCCAGCCTAGTCTACACAGTGAGTCCAGGACACTCAGACCTTGTCTCATAAAACCCACAATACTTCTCAGACTCATCTCAAAGCACACAACTCTTAAGACAAAAAAAAAATTTACAGTAAGAATCTCACGGATTTATAAATTTATAAACATTTTAGGAGCTAAGTAGCTAATAATAAAAATATCTACACCCAGGGGTAGAGATTTTTATCAGCACCTACTAGACGGTATACATTCAGTAACAGATAGTGACTCAGCTAGAGTTTTCCTAAGTGAGAACGGGATTAGAAGCAATAAGACAACATCAATTGTCATTCCAGGGGTAAAGTACAAGTTCTGAGGTTCCTTCCACTTAGCTGGGCTGGGCCAGACATGACCCCGGGTCTGCCAGGAACCACCTCTCAATGGGAGAGCATGATCTGCCACACACACACATCAACCTCTGGGGGAAGCGTGACTACCCACGGTGCTCATTCTGTTATATGCATGGTGTTAGGAGCCTATTTGTAAAGTGAAGTCTGCCTTCATTATCTTCTCTTAAAAATAGAGCATAATATGGCATCAGAAATTGCACAAGCCAAAATCCTACAAGAGTCTATTATTAAAAGACACAATGCCAGAGACAGTCAGTAAATCATTTACTTGGACCTTGGTTTCTGGAGTCAGCAAATGGGCTGAAGTAAACAGCACATAGGGCTCAGCCTTTAAACTTCCATGACCTAAAAGAGAAGCCCCGTTCTTGCCTCCTTTTTTGAGACAGAGTCTCAGTACATAGTCCAAGCTGGCCTAGAATTTGTGATCCTCCTGCCTCAGCCTCTGGAGTACTGGGATTGAAGGCGTGCACTCCCTTGCCTGGAGGCTGTTGTGGGATAGTTGTACACTGTGAAGATGTGTCACTGTGATTGGTATAATAAAAAGCTGAATGGCCAAAAATGAGGCAGGAAGAGGTTGTGGGTACTTTAGGGAACAGAGAGGACTCTGGGAAAAAGAAAGGCAGAGTTACCAGACAGACACAGAGGGAGTCGGAGATAAAAATAAAGGAAAGGTAAAAAGTCATGTTGCAGAACGTAGATTAAAAGATATGAGTTAATTTAAGTTACAAAAACTAGTTAAGGACAAGCCTAAGCTAAGGCTGAGCTTTCATAATTAATAGAAGTCTTTGAGTCATTATTTGGGAACTGACTGGAGGGACGGAAATGGACTCATTACAGATAGAAGTTATAAGCATTTTACATACTCTGTAGTGATATTCTGTTTTAACAAAACTTGCCTGGCCTGAAGATCAGAGTGCAGAGCTAAGTCACTAGAGGCCAGGGAGTGGTGGCACACACCTTTAATCCCAGAATTTGGGGAGACAGAGGCAGAGGGATGTCTGAGTTCAAGGGCACTCTGAGCTACACAAGATTAAATCTGTCTAAAAGAGAAACAGAGCTCACACAAATGTGAATCTAGCATTTGGGATCCCACACCTTTAATCCCAGCACTAGGGAAGTGGAGACAGGAGTGATATGGCTGGGCAGAGAGAGGAATATAAGGCGGGAGGAGACAGGAACTCAGTGGAGTCCGGAGACGCAGCCTGAGGACAGGATCGCCCCTTCGGTTTGAGCATTGGTAGAGGAAAGAACTCTCTACTGCTTGGCCTCTCTGCTTCTCTGACCTTCAGCATTAACCCCCTACATCTGACTCTGGGTTTTTATTGTTAAGACCAACTAGAATTCACGCTAAGACACTCAACACATTTCTAAAGAGACCTGGACACAACAGCAGATTCTATAAACACAGAAAGTTGGCTTAGAAATCTGTTTTATATTAACAATTCAAATTCGCTTTTTCAGCTCATCCTCAGGAGACCAGTTCCGCCATCTCACCAGGTAATCCGAACCTTTCCACGTGGGAGGGGGAGACTATTTGTTCAGGTAACTTTAGAACTCTGGCTTGATCTCCAGTTCCTCCTTTGTCGTAGCTGCAGGCATCATCACCATCAGTTTCCTTTAAAATCTCCACTTTGCATTCCAACCAGCGTTATAATCTTAAACCATGCATGCAAACTCTCACCAGGACTTCTGACGACATTCCTATGCTATCTTTCCTTTGCTGTGTTGTCTTTTAAGCTCTCTGTGGCTAGGACACAAATTATCTGCACACACTGAGACGGGATGTGCAGGCATGCCACTGCCTTTCTTATTTAACACGCTCTCCCACCCCACCCCACCACTGACACAGACGGACATCTTCATGTTTCCAAGGTACAGCTGCTTCTGTTAATGCTGTTGGATTGTGGGTAATCCATTACATCACATGGCTTTAACTGTCCTAACCAAAGTTTGTGCAGAGTCACTGGGATGGAGGAAGGAGTCCTCTAAGAAATCTGCACTCTATGGTGAGGCCACAATCACGGCAGCCTGGCTTCTCTCCACAGCTACAGCCGGCATGAATGTGTTCTGCACAAAGGGCCCATCTGGGGTTGGAGAGATGGCTCAGCGGTTAAGAGCAGTGGTTACCCTTCCAGAGGTCCTGAGTTCAATTCCCAGCAACCACATGGTGGCTCACAACCATCTGTAATGAGATCTGGTGCCCTTTTCTGGCCTGCAAGCAAACGTGCAGGCAGAACATTGCATACATAATAAATAAAATCTTTAAAAACAAAAACAAAGGGCCCATCTTTCAAAATGACTTGAAAGATTTTTAGTGGCATACAAACTATGTCCCCAATATCATCAAGACATAACTCAACTTTTATTACAACTTAAAATATTTTCATTAAAGGAAAGAAGTAAGAATTTTGGCATTTACAGTTGAAATTGCTCTTACGGAGGCAACTGTTTAGAAACACGCAGCTTACCTTTTTCCCGACATGGATTCCTGGGGTGTCAGCTTCCACAATGAACCCCGTGAAGGCTTTACTAGCAGGCACTTTAGGATCCGGGTCAGAGCGCGCCAGTAAGAAATACCTAAGGCAGAGAAACCCACGATGACGGCAATCACACTGGTTACTGTCTCAGCCACCTGCCCGACAGCCCCCAGCACCACCACCCCACTTAACAGGAAAGGAACTCACACAGATCCCAGTTCTACTGTGGCCAGACTTTCCAACTCCCTCCTTCTCAACTAATGGGTATTAACTTTAGGGTGAATATGAGCTATTAGTAAAAATCCCTGCAGCGAAGACAACATGAAAGCAGAACACGTGTGTGTTGGAGCTGGAATGCTCCTCACGGGCCGGTCTTTGTTTTTCAAGGGACAGGTGATCTGTAGAACGAACGGGCAGGACTCTGGCTGCTGCTGGGGATGGTTCCCGGGTGCAGTAAAGCAGTGCACATACTGTACCTCAATTACTAGGGATATTTACAGGTTTTCCCCCAGAAGGATTGAGAAATACAGCATAAGGAAGGGAATTCCCCACTTCCAAACTACTTTTTCATGTATCGTGATACAGATGTTTTTTTTTTTTTCTGGAACCTTCACAAAAGGACAAAAGGTCACATGACTCGAGTTCAAGCTGAGCTTTGGACTAGTCAGTCCTAGCATTAAAGGGGAGAAGAGAGCAATTGAGCGTTTGTCTTCCTTAAGCAATAAATTCGTTTTTATGCTAAAAAACCCAATAATTTATCAGTTTGTCACTGAGTATAATTTTACTTGGTAGTAGGAAAAGACAAAATTATTTTCTAATTTCATGACTCACCGAACTTGTCTTCCCCAGGAAGAATTATAGTCGGTTCTCAAAACTGTGATTGTTTAATTGCATTATTATATTTCCCTTAGCTTGTTCAATTTTCATGGCTTCTTTACTGCTTTATTACTTGCTGAAGTGATATGAGGATGCGAAATGATGCTGGTTTTGACGGATACTGAATCAGGATACTGCATGGAGTACCGGCCGCATTTAGGGTACTCAAAAGGGACTGGTAACTAGTCAGAATAAACAGTTTCCACGCCTGTGCACAATAAGTGTTCATTTTGTGAGCAACACAGTCCACCGTGGTGGGATGCTCTCCCACACTGCACAGCACATGAGTCTCCTGACGTAGACCCTTTTCAGAGTCGGCTGTGCTGGGTCACACCTGTAATCCTAGCATTTGGGAGTTCAAGGCAAGAGGATCGCCATGAATTTGAGTTCAGACTATGTTCCACAGTGACTTCTAGACCAGCCTGAGTGAGCTACAGAACAAAACTGTGTCCAAAACAACACAAAAAAACAAAACATAATTCCACCCTAATCTCCTATCATATAGGCTTAGATATCTGAATGTTCAGTCACCGGGGCGTAGAATTGTTCGAGAAGAATTAGGAGGTATGGCATTGTTGGAAAAGGTGTGTGTAGGGCCATATTGTACAGGCCCATATTTTTACATGGTATGGCGACCGGAATTTCAGGCCACAGTTTGTACCTGCCACACAGAAGGTGGTCACCCAGCCTTTGGAGACAAACTGGCGCCACCCCAAACAAAGGGTCAGGATATGCTAATGTTGCTCTGCTCCTTCTTTGTAATTTAGGGAGGTTGCTTGGGAAAGAGTTGTTAATTCAGTCTTTGTAACAGAGCAGGCATACAGAGCAGCCATAGTTGCAGCCGTGACCTAAGTCCCATTACCCCAGAAACAGAATGCTAATGAATTTCCCCTCAGTTTACATTTTGGTATAAAAGCTGTTGGAGAATAAACGTGGGTGGATTTTCAGGATGTGAACTCAGGATCTCATGAGGGATCCCTGAAAACTCCCTCCCGGTAAGGTCATGTGAGTTATGTCTCAATTATTCCCACACCTCCCCTCTGATCCAAGAAGTAATTTGTGGTCTGGACTGGCCACGGGACCACGACAGACGTGGCCTTGCTGGAGGAAGTGTGTCACTGGGGGTAGGTTTGGAGATTTCAAAAGCCAATGTCAGGTCCAGTCTCTCTCTCTCTCTCTCTCTCTCTCTCTCTCTCTCTCTCTCTCTCTCTCCCTCTCCCCACCCCCACCCCGTGGATCAGGATGTAAAGCTCCCAGCTACTGCTCCAGCACCATTCTTGTCTGCTTCCCACCGTGATGATCATAGACTGATCTTCTAAAACTATAAGCAAGCCTCCAGTTAAAGGCTTTCTTTTGTAAGAGTTGCCTTGGTCATGGTAATTGTCTTTACACCTACATATTTGGAAGTTTTAGACATCGCTAACCTCAACTACTGCCCTCTTTTGTGCATAAACTGAGGTTTTTGTCTTAAATTTTTGAGGGGGTCTCATGAGCCCAGGTTGGCTAGAACTTGCTATGCGGCTGAAGAGAACCTTATACTTCCTGATCCTTTTACCTTTGCTCAAAGTGATAGAAATACAGGAGCATGTGACCAGGAATGGTTTGGTTTTTATTTTTAGATGATACAGAGAGTTGAACCCAGGGCTTTGCGCATTCAGGTAAGCTCTTTAACCACGAGTTACATCCCTGGCCTCAGGACTCAAGTGATTTTTTGGGGGTGTGGGGGAGCAGTTTTGAGACAGGGTTTCTCTGTATACTAGTCCGGGTTGTCCTGGAACTTGCTTTGTAGAGCAGGCTGGCCTTAAACTCACAGAGATCTGCCTGCTTCTGCTTCCTGAGTGCTAGGATTAAAGGAGTGTCCACGGCTTCTGGCCCAACTCAAGCTTTAAGAAGCTTCTGTTGGGGATGAGCACCACAGCATAGTCTTTACCTGGTGTGCACAAAGCTCCAGGTTCAACCCGAGAACCCCAAATCCACAGAGAACCAGAACAACATCCTATGAATGTCTTTCCGGTTTTTTTCTGAGAGTTTTAGGGTCCCAGGGAAGTGCCAGCATAGGAGATGGGGCAGTAGCAGTAAACCCTAACTGATAACTTAGTGAGATTAGCTATTTTTACTACACTTTACACATTAGACTTCTTAAATTAATCTGGAAGAAATAGCCCAGGGGCTTAAAATAGTTACCGCATCAGTGAGTTATTTATATCGTCACATGAACCTTCCAGCTTCAAAACCACGGCTTGCTTTAACTGAGACACTTAAGAACAAAAGAGGAAAGGGAAGCCTCGGAAGACGCAGTGGCTAGGAACCGTACCAGTTTGCCTTCCCTCCGTTGGTTATCCACATCTTCTGGCCATTGATAATATACTCATCGCCCTTCTTCTCCGCTCTGGTCTTAATGCCCGCCACGTCAGAGCCTGCTGAGGGCTCGGTAACACAGTAGGCCTTGAACATACGGACACAAGGAAATAAATGTTAATTATCACATGGTGAGTGTCTGGTGATAGTATCATTTTGCTTGTTTTGTGGTGCTAGGATAGAACCCAGGGTCTCAAGTGTGCTAAGCAAGGGTTCCACAGTGCGCTATATCCTAAACCCTGCATTTTGTCTTTGAAGGTAGCATTATAAGTGAATGTTGAACATTACAGGGTTATATGTTGTGAGATATTTGCTTACACTGTGTGAAGATGCATCTTTGTGACTGGTTTAATAAAAAACTGAACAGCCAATAGCTAGGCAGGAGGTATAGGTGGGACTTCTAAGAGAGACTGGGGGGAGACAGGGAGGGAAATCGAGAAGCGTGAGAGAGAGGCCGGGGGACTGAGGGGAAACAGGAGGAACAAGATGGGAGAGTAGTAAAAAGCCACGAATCAAAACTTAGATGAATATAACTGGGTTAATTTAAATTATAAGACTTAGTTTAAGAGAAGCCCAGGCTAAGGTCAAGCCTTCATAACTAATAAGAAGTCTCTGTGTTATTATTTGGGAGCTGGCAGGACAGAGAAAGACTAGCTACAGTTCTTAGAAAACCAAATACATGGCCCAAATGTGAAAATATTTAATATGTAAATAAAATTAGGCACAGGATACCAATAAACTATAGGAAATATTAAAATACGAGGTATATTCAAACAAATTCACTAAATTCAACTTAATATAAACTGATCTATTTGAATAGTCATTGAATATTTATGACGTAGTAGGCTGTAAAGTCAGATAGTAAAAAGGCAGCCTGCCCTTGAGACTTTCACAGGGAAACAGGGCAACCATGCTAAGCGTGGCTATTAAACACCAGCTTCCTTGAGATGCTTAAGTGAAATCTCGCATAGAAAGGGTATTCTGTAAGAAGAGGAAAGAAGAGAATATGTACTCTCTGCAGAAGTAACTGCATGAGGTGAGGACGGAAAACAGAACAAGGCGGGGAACAGAGCCTGGTGTGCATGAGGTCCTGGGTTCAAGCCCAGGCAGCCCACAGACGGCGGAGCAGGGGAAGCAGAGGACCGGGTGTCTAAGGCTGGTCACACTCACACACATTAGCGGCTGCTCAGTCATCCTCCCCAAGTACTTCTTCTTCTGTTGCTCATTTCCAGCAAGAATCACAGGCATTTGCTACCAAGGGAAATTAACATTAGGACAGCAAGATGTTTTATTAGTTATGCAGCTTCAGAAACACAGCCCAACAAATGAAAAAGAACTGCCTGCCTCCTAGAAGTACCGAATTCAAAGAATTGGCATTTGCTCTGAACTAAGATAAGAAGCTACCGAGCAAGAAGCCACGTCTACCAGTCTAAGCTCCTCACGTTATACGCAGGCTCGTTGGCAGTATACAACCACCACCAACAGTAAGATGCTCACAGATTCAACTTAGGATATGGGACACGGTGTCTATGAGCAGATGCTCAGTAGATTTCAGCGCAATAAGTGGGCAGCAGACCACTAGGATGGCTTCTGAGCCACCTCAGGCCTTGTTCTTGCCTGAGACCTTCCAAGGAGGCTGTAGCCAAAGTGTCCGGTTTCCTCACAAGGACACCCAAAACTCCAGTCCTGGAGACAACAGAACCACCATCTGGTATCAGTCTGGGTAATCATATCTCCAAGCCAGGCTAGCAAATAGTCCCTAAACCTTTAAACTAACTTTACTGTTAGCGTCTCATTAACAGCCCAGGCAAACAATTAACATGCTCTTAAATTAATTTTACTTATTCTGTAAGTATGTGCACATGTATGCACATGTATGTCTGCATGTGCCACAGGTCACTCTGGAGACCAGATGACAGCTTGGGAGAGTCAGGCGTCACCTTCTACCACATGGGTTCCTGGGGTGGAACTCAAGCCATTAGAAGCCTTTATGCCCTGAGTCGTCTCACAAGGACCATTGTAAGTTATTTTCTTAGTAACTTACCCCCAAAGAATTCGCCTCAATAGCAGTTTGCACCCCAGTACACCCGTACGCCAGCTCTTCGGTAATTAAACAAGCATCGAAAGTTCGCAGTCCCAGACCACCTGTAGCATGACAGTGCATGCGGAGCAGAAATTATAACCAAAGAACAACTCAACAAACTCAAACCCAGCTAGACAAGGGAAATGCCTGCGCTTCATGCTAAGGAGAGTCTCCCCAAAGCAGGCAAATCTGAGTGCTCTAAATAGGGAAACAAAGGCAGAAAGCCACTGACCGGCAGCAGACACTTTAGGGGATGAGACAATTTCTGGCTTTTTGTTTTTGTTGTTGTTTTGGGACTAAGAATGTGAAGGGAGCTTACCACAGTTCTCTGGAATGTGTGCATTGATCAAACCAAGTTCCCAGGCTCTTTTAATGAGGGGGAATGGGTACTAAAAGGGATAAAACAACACAGTCACACTACAGCCAGTGGTAGCATGATCTCCCAACAGCACGAGACTCTTCTCCCTACAAGGTGATACCCACTTCACCGGTTCTGTCGTATTCTGCCGCCACCGGGATGATTTCCTCTCTGGCAAACTTTCGAGCGGTTGCTTGAAATTCTTTCTGCTGTTCAGACAGCTCTAAAGGAAAATTATTTTGAGAACATCAAGAGGAAATCAAGCTGAAGAAAGAAGCCCCACGAAGTTAGTATGTGGAGATTTATATTTATCATAAGACATGCTTCTGACCTCAGGGAGCAGCTTCAAGAAACAAGGCATGGTTTACTTGGTCAGCATACAGTAATAAAACTTGTTTCCAAGAACTATAGAAGAACACCAACACCATAGTTCAAATTTCACTCTTCCTTTAAACTCCAACACATTTAAGAACATAAGTTCCCACAAATAAACTGGTAAAAACAATAACAATAAAAACTACATAAAACCTTCTGAATTACTAACAGGCAACATTCAAACAATCCTTTTACACAAAATAAAACTAGTTATTGCAAAAATTAACTGGATGACTATTGTCTGGACCCTCAGGGTAAATGTAGATTGTTAATTACATTTTCGTAGACCTGTGCTACCTAGTGTTTTAATGTGGGTACATTGATGTGAAAAATGAGGCTGGAGTGTAGCTCATTGGTAGAACACCTGCCTATCCTGCGTGAATTTCAGGACTCCATCTCGCCCCACGGGGGGTGTTAAGGGTGGTATCGCCGGCAATTAAAGGAAGAGTCAAAGCACGGAAGACTAAGTCAGGTGGTGGTGGTGCACACCTTTACACCCAGCACTGGGGCAGCAGAGGCAGAAGGAGAAAGAGAGAGAGAGAGAGAGAGAGAGAGAGAGAGAGAG